AAAACATAAAAAGGCCAAAAATATAAAAACATATAATGACAAAAATATATAAAAAGATCAAAAATAAAAAGGACTAAATATAATAAAAATTAAAAGTTAAAAATATAAAGACAAAAATATAAAAAGCAAAAAATATAAAAGGACAAAAATTTAAAAAGACACACACACACATACACACACACATATATGTAACATATATGTAACAAAAAATATAGGCAAATATATAAAATCAAAAAATGTGCAAAGAATAAAATAAATTGAGAAAACTATAAAAAGCAAAAAATATAAAAATACAAAAATATAAGAATCTGATGTTTAGACAAATTTTAGGGAGGGGGGTCGAGCCGAGTATATTTCAGCACGCCCTCACACTTTTTGATATTATAGAATAGATAATTGTTTTTTCACTTATACTTATATATGATATCATTGACAGGATTTATTGAAGAAATACATCAGGAATGGCAAGCTAAGGATTACAGAATGAGTAAAATTCAAGTGGTTAAAATGAAAATAAAAGTAACAAGCACCGACTATATTTGAACTTTGACCCGTAAACAAGATTTTTCGGCTTTTCTTATCATCGTACACTGATTTTACTACTACTTCAGTCCTCCACTTAACTTTAGTTATTTGCTGAACTCATCAACTAAATATTTATGGCGGGAGGAAAAATATTTTAAAATTCATTATTTCGCCTTTTAATTTGTTATTTGTGTATAAAAATTAGGGATAAAGGAATGGTCGTTGTTCAAGTCTTAATACTAACTGAATATGACTTACGTATATAATGTAAATTCATATTAAATGATGTTACGGCCGAAACCTGAAATTTGAATTTGTTGTATTCATTCTATTTCCTGGCCTGATGATCAACATGCTACCTCGCATCTCCATTTAAATAACATATGGAATACCGGGGTAGGTGGACTCATGCCTTTACCAGTATTAATGGTTTATTTCTGAATTTCCCAGATCTGAACACGAACATTGACTCGAAGAACTGTAGGAAGGAGATCAACAGATACAGTTGACTATTGGGTATCAATCGAATTTGCTTTGCTGATCAAAACAAACATTATGTCTCCAAATTCTATTACTTGTTTATCGCAGAAGAAAAAAAATGTTCATTGGTCTCTAGTTGGTAGTTATGAATTCAATATCTGGGTTAAGCAATGAACGTCATCTATTACAGTTCAGTGAAATCAGTAGCAGTAACAGAATAAGAAGAACCGGTTTTATAAGCCAGCTGCTCGTGAGTAGAAGCTGTTCGAGAGGAACTTCCATCTCACCAATGGAATACGAAGGGAATAAGGGTGGTTTGCTACAATGCGCTTAATATGACGGGTCTTAACCGTAAAAGTTACAACTGATGGAACTAAGGAATGCAGTTCGCCAGAAAACTTTGCATGGAAAAAGCGATAGAGCAATCAGAGGCTTGAGATGTTTCCTCAGTGGGAAACGTGTAGAGTGGAAAATAATTCGTCACCCACGAAGACGGGTTAACGCTTTTGCACAGGACTCTATCAATACTGGAAAATGAAGACTGGGCAGCTCCTGCCCATGTATAGCAGCCCTCTATTTTCAGCTTGGTCTGGCTCTTGTGAAGATAGAGGATACCAGGAGAAAGTCGGCACTTATTGAAGCGGTACAGGGAACAGATCATTTTTCCAACATCTTTAGCGATGGATCTTATGTACGAGTTTCACTTGATGTTTGGGTTGAGTTGAATTAAATAAAGGGCTCAACTCTAAATTCCTAGGTTACGAAATGCAAATAGCAACTGAAGAAACACAGAGGTTATAACAAAAACAACGTCGTGACTATATCATTCAAGAAACTATTTCAATTCGAATATATTCATGTACAATAATGGTAATTCATTTTTGAAATTCCGATAGAAAGCATTACGTCAGCTCCATTTTGTGTTATGCCAATACATCATGATACCGGAAACAAAAACTCCCGACTTCTGTGCTGTCAGTCACAGTGAGCCAAAGGCTATGATTATAGTAGGAGGGAGAATGACAGAAATATCAATTTTGATGTTATGCCAGCCGAATAGAGTGTAAATGTTAGGCTAGTAACGTATTTGAAACGTGAGAAATTCTCTACCCATTTTTTATTTATTTCTGAATCAGAAAAACTCGAACGTTGGCTCAAAGAACTGGAGTCGACAGATCTGCAAGGCCAATAGAAATATAAGCAAATATACTAATTGAAAATGATACTGGCAGTAACTCTCGGCAAGCAGGTCTAAAACAATCACACACACACACACACACACATATATATATGTTTTTTTTGTTACTACTATGAGGAGATTATCCCGTTATTTTTGCTGGACAATATACTTTCGATCGTTTCTTTTATGATTTAATGTTCCTAGTTAATAAAGAGACAAGAAACCATCTCGTGTTTGACAGTGAGGATGAGTGTAACTGGCTGATAAACTTTCTTGCTCTACCAGACTTTTGAGCATGTTTAATTTTGAGCATCGTTTTCTTTCGATGGATGTGCAAATGGCTTAAGGCTCGGAGAGGGAAATCAGTGAACCAAGTTCGAATTCTGGTCGATATCTTTACATTCACTTTTACATAAAAGCTCTTTGAAAAGATAAATACATCTTTTCTCCTCTCCATCTATGGGATAAATTGCAGGATAGACTGAACTCTCTTAGTCATGGTTGGCACCCAGTATAGCAGAAAGACAACTATGAATTAAAAATCGCATGTACATACTTGAATTATAACAAGAAGTTGAAGAAATCGTGATGGACCTGAACAAACAGATATGCTGAAAATTAGAAATCACACTTATTTGCAGTGTGCCTTCAAGTCAAAACCGCTCTGATGATAATTTCTTTAGAACCGGTTTTAGTGCAGTTTTAACATCTTCTACTGAAATCTTCAGCTCTTTGAGAGTCTATGCATTGCATGATAATAACATCCCCAATATGATTTGACAAGAGTTTTATGTAGACTCTCAAACTGTGTTGTAAGTCATTTTACCCAGTTTCGAACAACTATTTTACTTTACATTAAAAACTTTTGTAATTTTCTTCATGGCCACTTCCTATGCTGCGTTTTTTATAGTTATTTTCCTATTTTGTCTCTAGATAAAAACACCAGTCACACACAAAAGCGATAAATGACGTGTGGAATAAGCAATCGTTTAAATGTATTTACTTGGCCACGTTTCATCCTGAAGATTTGAAAGAATTTAGGCGAAGAGACTAAATTTGCCTGGAATGAAGTTTGAGCTAAAATGAAATTCTAAAAAAAAAAAAGCTCTGAGTTGCAGTCCAAATATTTTGTCATTGTTAGGGGATATCAAGTGTAAATTGTTTTATTTGATGACAAACTTTTGACCAATTTCTGTAAATGATGATATTCATTTTTACAGGTTTTAATCCGGCAACGCACATTGGGGAATAGGACATGTGGTATTTCTGGATTATATTTTCAGCTTTAACCAACAACAAAAACGAGAATCATCCAAACATTCCTTAAATATAAATGTGCAAAATTTTTAAGCGTTTTTTTCATATATATATATATATATATATATATATATATATATATATATATATAAACACTGTAAACTTGTGCACAAACCTAATTTAAAAAGACATCAGATAAATTATTTTTATAAAGTACTTAGACAGACCACTACTGGAATAGGGTACCTATACACAAGCCACCAATCTGCCACTGGGTTGCATGCCACTAGCGTTTACCGCTGGTGGTCCGCTGGTGGTCCGCTGGTGGTCCGCTGTCGGACCGCTGGTTGTTCCTAGCGGCAATGTTATCACTGGAGGACCACTGGCGTTCTCATCGGCGGACCGCCAGCGGGCCACTAACTTGCGTATAGGGAAAGAGTCAGAATACAAAGAAAATCTACAGTAGAATCAACGTCTTTACTCGATGAGCTAGACCTCTGCCTCAGACAGCCGAGAATATTTTGTTTTTTGTCTATTTTGCTGATGATGTTCGTTGATTTCTTCATTTCGCGGACGAGTGTCGAGCTATATTCAGGAGCGTTATATTTCTCATTAGTGCTATATGGGAAGGTTGGAGATTTGTCTTTAGAAAAAGTGGACAATTGTCGGATTAATTTCTCCCACCTCGCCCAATTACGAGCGTGAAACGTGATGGTCGTACCTGCCTTTATTAGAGACGCTATTCACGTCTGCTTCTTCCATCGGATTGCTTACTTCGAACGTAGATTACATGAAAAAATAAATAAAGAGGGAAAAAAAGAAACAGAAATCTTGACAAAGAAACAAAACGTCTTCAATGGAGTTTTTTTTTATTTCTTGGTTGTGCTTGAAATAATGATATTTGTAAATCACCGATGTTGAATGCAACTTAACAATGGCTCTGGTTAAATTTGTTCCGACCGTCAAAATCCCAACCCCTAACCTCAACCCCAGGAAGTCAGCTCTCAAGGAAATAAAAGAACGATATATATATATATATATATATATATATATATATATATATATATATATATATATATATATATATATAACGCAATTATTGCTAGCAATAAAGCAAATATTATAAAGTCAGTCACACTAATTTTGTTTCACAGTGTATATGTTCTCATTATACTGTAGTATTTTATAAAGTTTGCATTAGCATTAACATTCTATATAAAAAGAATGAAAAGAAATTGCATTACTTAAATACTTGGATGTGCAGGCGCTGTAATAGTCATGATTGATTGATTTGTTTCTTTACGGTTTATGAACCTCTTGCAGGTTACTTAAAGTAAGAAAATAATTTTTAATTGTAAGAATTCTTGCTTTAGATAATAATGATTTACTCATACAAGTCCTACTATTTAACCCAAAGCTAGTGGGGAGAAGATGTGAATTCTTTTCCCAAAGGGTATTTTCGCATAAGTGAATATAATGAACCTGATTAGATTTGGAACTCGGCTCTCCTGATTTCTAGTTCTGAGCTGTTATCCATTACACCACCGCACATCTAAGTTTACGGCACCTGGTGTTCGCAAGAGGTTAGTCATCTAACTACTGACCAAGTTCGACATAGCTTAACTTCAGTGATCGTAGTGAAAACTGGTGTTTCGACGTGATACAGCCGTAAGCACAGTGTAATAGTCAGACTCTAACAATTACAAGAAGAATTCGAACTCTATCAGTCGTTTTCTAATTCCGAGACTCTAACGGTTAGAGTCCCGGAACTAGAAATCGACAGGAAGAATTCGAATTCTTCTCCCCCACAACTATGGGTTAAATAGTAAAGCAAACTAGATTCTCTAGGCCTGGTTGGAAACCGGTAAGAGAGAAGGACAACTCTGAATTAAAAACCATATGCACCCCTGGCGGGTAACATCCGCTCAGATTGGCTCTCACGGGTAGGCCCGAATAGACGAACTTGCTAGTCTATTTTTTCTTTTCTTACCTCCAACTTTGATGCTCATTTGAGCATCCATGTTGGAGGCAAGAAAACTAATTTGTAGTGTGCCTTCCAGTCCAAACTGTTCGGATGATGAATTAAATCATTTATTGTCAAAAGAATGCTAACTATTATAACGTTTTAGCAAATCTAAATTTTTTTGTTGGTAGAGTGTCTTGCTCCGATGTTGAACAGATCGACGCCATTATGCGGTTATTCAATTGGTTTAATTCCGATATAACAATAATGAAAAAGTTTGAAATATTTCGTGAATTATCAAAACGTGATGCAGACAATCGAAGTGAACAAATACGGTTGACAAAATGGCGCCGATCGACTTGCTCGACGCAGAGATGCTACAAGCCTTCAATTGGAAAAGAAACGTAATAAAACGAAATCTGCCTGTACTGAAATTATGTCGATCGGTTCGTAAGATAACGCCCACGATTTTTTTTTTAATGAATTTGAGTTTTTGTTATAAGCGTCGAACGGAATTTCTTGCTAAGTATTGGAGATTTGTTCGCTCGACTAATCAATCATACCGCCTAGCATAAATTTTAAAACGCTCTTTAAACAAAAAGGAAATTAAAGGATAGTTTTTATATAAAAAAAAAGTAAATAAATCAGCTTTTCATCGTAATGATCGGCGAAGCATTCTTTCGGTGGTTTGTTGCCCAATGTAACAGTTCTGTTGAAGAAGCTGCCTGAGCAGAACTTCCCTTTTATCAGTGGAATGCAAAAGTAATGAAGATCATTCAACCCTGGATACAAGATATAGTGGGTCTTAGTTGTAAAGATCTGAACTAATGTACGTTTGTCTGAACATTTGTTATAGAAATAGCAATAGAATAGCGTCGGTGGGAAATGTATTTAGAGGGAAAAAAATAATTCAGCACCCACAAGGTTGTGTAAACGCATTTGAACTATATCAAGGCTAAAAAAGGAGGATTGGGTAGCTCCAGTCTAGATATGGCAACGATATTCCATTTTTGGTCAGATCTGACTCTTGCAACGATAGAGCATGGTAGGAGTCAAGGAATATCTGGAGCAAGAAATCGACCTTTCTTTAGTGATGGATCTTATATATCAGTTCCTCTTGAAGTCTGGGATGAACTTGAGACCCAGTTGGTGTTCAAAACAAGGAATCTCATTGAAAGTACAACCGATCATTAGGCCTGGAGAAAATTTACTGTCGGCTCGGTGATTCTTTTTCTCATTGTAAAATTGAGATATTTGAGTACCGCATTTTTAGCCATTTGTTTAAACACTTCTCCAATATTTAAGCTTATGTACTTGTCTGATTTTGTCATGTGCAATTCGTAGTTTGAAACTTAAACCGTCCCTCTTGTTGACATTCTATCTTCTTACAATTGATGATTAACCCATTCTTACCTGACTCTATTGTCTAGATTTTCCTGTAGTTTTCATTCTATGTCTGCTATCTGCGTACCTTATATTGTTGTAGGCTCTGAGAAGTAATCCAGGTAGGATTTTCGGCTCCCTTATTATACTTACTCGTTATAAAGGTTGAATAGGGCAGGTGAGATGTAACATAATTTCCAAGCCTCAAACCTGGAGATTATGCAATTTTATAATAGGTTTAGTTTTCTCGTATAATAATGTATTTTGATTACCCAACACCGCTTAAGCTTTAACGATGAAAAAAAATTATATTACTGGGAGAGATTCCCCAAAACGTGAGTTAAGGCTTATATACATGTCATAATTACAATGAAGAAAAAGAGAAAATTAAACGACTATTCAAATTGAGAGAGAAATTGGCAAAGCATCGGTTTGCCAGGGGTAGAATAAGAGAAACACTGACATAGACAAAGTAAATACTTATCGCCCCCATACTATTCTCTTATTGTCGTCCTTGTCTGTTGGTAAAAATTGTTATCATCTAGAAACATTGATTGGAGTTAGAATTCTTGTATGCCAAAATAACTCGACTGTCATCAGAAGTGGGTGATCGAGTCCACGGAAAAGTCAGGGCTTCGAAATCTGGATTTCCTTGATAGGCACGCTTTTCCCACTTGAAAGATTAACACGTTGACTGCCAGAGATCAATTATGAAATCTGACTTCAAACGCCAACGTAGGCAATAAAAGATTTTTATGTGTTGATTTCTAGATTCAAATGAAGTCTTAACATTGTTTTCACACTAAAAGTATCACGAATAAACTCATTGTTGGTACCTGCAAGTGTCAAGCACGAAATAATTCGTAGTCAGTCTAAATCTACTAGAAATCACTTAACAGAAACAAACAATACTATAGCTTTCCTAGATATCCCGTTACACCGTAATAATAATAATAATAGTCTAAAATTAAGTGTTCATCGCAAATCAACTAATAGAAATGATCTCATACATTTCTACTAATATTTAAAAATAGACGAGTAAATCATTCTGACAAACCCAAGGAATCAAAATATATTATTCTGCCCACCAATTCTATCACAATTACAACTGAAAAGAATTTAGCTAAGTTTAACATAAAAATTGCTACAACTACTAAAGCAATAAAAGACTTAATACAAAACAAAATAATAAGCTAAATCTTGAAGGTAGACTTTACTCTATCACCTGTAATAATTGCTACAAGGAATACATAGGCGAAGCTTCAAAGTATTTAAATAAAAGATTATGTGAACACAAAAAGGATCTTTTACAAAACGCACACTCAATGTATTAATTGACATCATTTTAATATTGATTTAAAAATTTCTCCTTTAATTAAAAGATAAATCATTTTTCATTGAAGAAATTGTATAGAAAGTGCTTTAATCGCTAGACATAAACTTACATCCAGTGTAATTTCAAGCCCCTTTTATGTACGCATATTCTTTTCTTTAGATTTCAAGATGGTTCAATGATATATTTTCGGCTGACATTGTTTACATTCGATCTGGTAGACTCCATCTTCTGATGCAAAGTTACTTGTTTGTTTTATTTCGATTACATTATTTACAATTGTTTTATAAGTATTTTTTTATATTTTTTATATTTCTATTTGCTCAAATTTATTAGCTATGGTGTTTGTAGCTAATATAATGTTTGTTTTTGTGTTTCGTAATTCGTTTTTTATTATTTTGTTGGATTTATAATCGCTGCCCATTCGTTAAACGAGTATGACCTTCGCTGAAAATTATGACGTAATTTGTTATTGGCAATCATAAGACTGGCACTGACTTTGAAGTCAGCAATTATCTTACATACTTGACACAGACCGAGCAAACAAGATCGTCTGGTTGTTTCGTTTCTTTGTGGTCTTCGTTAGGACCAGGGGATTTGTGTCCGTTCAGGGAATTGGTACCCGTTCAGGGGCATTGGTACCCGTTCAGGGGGATTGGTGCACCTTCAGGGGGATTGGTGCACCTTTAGGTGCCTTGTTCGGCCAGACTGACTTTTGTAAATTTTTCCGCATTACTCACATATCAGACCATTGATATCAAGGAAGCAAGTTAACTTCGACTATAGATTCATCAGGCTGCAGGTGATATGAGAAATGGTGGACGGTGCTGTTTAATCAGAGGGGTTGCAGGTATTTCACATACACACACACGTGTGTTTGTGTGTGTGTTTGTGTGTGTGTTTGTGTGTGTGTGTGTGTGTGTGTTTGTGTGTGTGTGTGTGTCTTGATACTCCAGTTTGCTTGGCTTTTTTACATGCCTCTAGAATTTTTACACATTAGCTATTTTAATTATTAAATTTTTAATTTACTTCAAAGCTACTTTAAAGTTCAATATGTTTTACGTCATTTACATTGAACTGAAAACTCTGGACTAATTGTGACGAAATAGGCGCGGTTGGTGTAACGCTTATTGCTGGAATCGGCGAGCCGAGTTCAAATTCCCAGATCGGCGTTAGCATTCACTTTCACACTAATGATGCTTTGAAAAGCATCAATCCATCTCTTCTCCCGTAGCTATGGGTTAAATAGCGGCATAGACAGCATTTTCTAGTCTTGAATGGCATCCAGTCTAGAAGAAATATACTGAGTTTACAATTATGGAGAAGACAATGAGAAACCACTTTACTAACTTTCTCCAAGAGTCATAGCAATTCACAAATAATAAAGTTAAAGAAGTTTGTGAAGAATCCTGATCTCTTACTTCTTGAAGTGAAAAGGAAATAAAAACTTTTGGGGAATCTGTATTTTTATTTTTCCTACCCTATGCCCATAGCGATCAGTCTTTCTGAGTATTTTCAAATATATGAGATATCAAAAGCTTAATTATTTACTCAGGAAAATACCCTTTGTCTGAGACTGCTCGATTTTTGGAAAAATCCAATCTTTTTCGAACGAAGGAGGAAAAAAATGAGAAGAAAAAAGCAGATTCTGTAAAGTAACCAACCACAAAAAACTTGATACCAGACAATATTCTCACGAAATAAATGGGAGAAAAAATATCGCAGGCATATTAAATTTATTATAGTTGAATAGGAAAGAAAATCATTGGATAATTACATTCTTTTTTTCTAACGACAGAAACTATCACTAATATAAACTTTTGACGTCATATATATTAGGAAGTGGACTAAGTCCGACCATTATTTTAATATATTTTCTGTTTATACGCCATTTTTATAGATATAAATATTCAAGTAAATTATCTGTTTATAATAAACAGTACTAAATACATTTACTAGTCTGAATATCCGAGAAATTTCATAGAACGTATGT